CCTTTACTATACAGAGACATGGCCTCATCCCACCTGTCATATCTCAAATGTGAGGTAGGACTTACGTTAAAGACATCGTGTTCATCTTTATACGACCCATTTTCGGCTAATGGAGAAGGACAGCCTTGGAATCGAGCAAAATCATCCAAACTCTCTGGTCGACTTTCTAGAGTGCTTGAGGACGCGTTGGTTGTTGTACTATTACCACTTGCACTAAGCCTCATAAACGAACTTGTATTGCTCATGAACGAGCTTGCATAGTGACTTCCTACACTATTACTTCTCGTAGGCCCACCGTTTTGTCTAGAGCCAGATCGAGGCGGTTCACGAAGCAAACTGAGTTCATCCACGGTATCTTGACTAACCCATGGGCGCATAAGGATATATTGGGTGACAAGACTTGACTGCTCGTCAATATCAAAGTCGTCATCACTGTCGTTCGAGCTACTGCTAGTCAAACTAATCTCACTGGCGCCGTCCACGTAGTTATTTCCTCCAAGTCCAATCGCACCGCCCAAACGGCCAAAGCTAGATTTACTGCGATGAATGGCTTGACTGAGGGCTGGTCGAACTGGACTGGTGTTCTTTTGGACCGCCTTTGCGTATATCGAATTTGGTTTCTTGTCATAGGGTGGACAAGACTGGAAGAGGGCAAGGGTATGAAGAAGCTTTTGAACACGAGGGTCCTTTTGAAGGGTATCGGTGTTATTGGATATCGACCTGTTGTCAGGTCGGGACGAGGTTCGTACAGGCACATGGATGGATTGTTCTTGTTGGATCTGCTGTTGAACAGCGGCTAAAAGATAGGTCATGTCATGAATAAATGTACCCAAAAAGGGAACCGTCGGCCGTTTGCAATGTTCTGATTGCATCCTGTTAACGCTTTTCCCTAGTACGGAGGTAGAGGCAATGCCCATGTGCTCTCGATACTTTCCATAGTTGTTTGATTCAGACATGAGCTCATTCAATGCTTCCAGTTTTGACATGCTCTTTTTAGGAATATAGGCCCATGTTCTCTTCAACCGCTGAACAGGTGGTGTGCCTAATGCGGAAACGATAGCTTTTAACGTTTGGTAATTGTTGAGTTCCTGGCATTTGGTGGCAATTTTTATCCAGTGATGAATATGCTGAGCTCTTGACGATGCTTCCTGAGGCAATAAGATGGAGTGCTCAATAACTCTTGTAATAAAGTTAAAAAAATCAGTAGATGCCACAATTCGAGGATGCGGGTTCTTGGGCGAATGTGTCAGAAGTGACTGAGGAGGAATAGCCATGAAAATGGCAGACTCGATGCGAGTGATTTGGTATGCGATGATGCCTGGATGAAAGTGCAAAATGGATGGGATGGTGGCTGCATTCATGTAGATCGTACGTACTCTATTGAGCGTTTGCTTGGCTTCGGCTACATACGGGGTATATTTGGAAATGGCATCATCCAATTCGTTTTCAGTCATGTGATTGTTACTATTGTTACTATTACTGTTGATATTTTCATGGTGAAGCGATAACTGCCGCTTTCTTGTACGGTATTCGTTCAAGGATGATTCAAGTTCATCTAATTTTGCTTGAAGGACTCGATGCGTAGTGAGAAGAGGCGGAACTGGTATCTTTGGTATATGGTTTGAATTGCCGGGTGGAGTTAGGCTGTCATTGTTATTCGTTTGTGCTGGTACAAGGTGATTGGGGTCAATTTCTCCGTCAGGTACAGGAGGAAATGCTGGCCCTAGACAAAAAAAAATAAGCCATGATGATCAGTGCACCCATATCATGATATTACCGGCATCTTGTTCTGTCTTGACGACTAGCGTAGGCATGGTTGGTAGGGGTCGAGTAGGCTTTGGAGGCAAGACCGGCTTGCTGTTACTTGCACTAGGCTTTGGGGGTAAGGGAGGAGGATAAGGCGATGGTTTATTAGATGAAATAGAATGATGCTCTATAATCTTTTCAATTTGATCGAAACATGTTCGTAATATGCAAAGTAATGCTTCATGATTTTGCGGCTTTGAAACGATAGCTATCTCTATCTGATTAGCGGTAGTTTTGGTTGATACTTGTTCAAAACTTACAACAGTGAACAAACTTCACGTCAAATAATGGTTTTATGGCATTTTGAGCTGTGGTTAAAAATGATTGATAGGCATCCTAAAAGGTTATTAGCCTTAGGTCGATGTGCGTTTCTTTTTTATAGTACTTTTATTTGTCCATTCTCAAAATGGTGAGATGCTGTAGTCAATAAGGATTGAGGATCTTCCATCATTGCAATTCTATATTATTCGTATGTAGGCGCACACAGAATAAATAATCTCTTTAGATTAAGGAAAGAAGGAGAAAGGGAAAGAAAGCAAAAAGAGAGAAGAGAGAAAGGGTGGATATAGAAAGAGAGGGAAAGGAAAGAGAAAGGAAAAGGTATTTATTCGTATAGTTTCAGGGTTACAAATAGACACCAAAAATGTCAAGTTTATCAAATGAGGAAATAAGCTTAATTAAGTGTCCGCGTAACCACTCATTTCTGTTTATGCATCAAGATACGATCATTATAGACAATGTATTCTTGAGGTCGAGTATTAGGATCATAGTGCGTGATAAGGTTACCACTGTCTTCTAATACAGGCCATCCTTTGATACTTATTTCTCCAAGGGTATCATGCCAGGTATAGGCAAGAACCTTCACTTCATTATGTTTAACCTTCAACAGTCCATCAGGAATATAAAAATCATGTTGTGGCCCATCACCGTTACCATAATATCTGGCTATAATAACATCATTCAATATAACCACTGCTGTCCATTCACCATCCAGATGTAATCGAAGGGGAATTCGATATAAATCACTCTGCTTCTTTAAGGTATGATCAAATCGGAATCGGAACCATTGTACGCCTTGTGTGACAGAAATGGGAATTTTATAAACACCGTCATTTTCGTCAAACTGCTTGAATTTTTGCCAGCCTTTTTGGACTGCTTCATCTGGGAATCCTGTGGTACTATAGGCATTTGTCAACAGACGAACATCAACCCCTGATATTTCCCATTCTCCTTGTTCGGTTGAGTTGATACCATTTAGCTTGGCTTGAATGATACCTCTTGGGTTACGAATGTCGTTCATAATAAATGCTTGTCGATTCAATCCAAAACTTTCGACAATGATCACTAGCTCGTTTTCATCATTTGTAAGATAGGATGTAATGTCGTACGTGCGTGAGCCAAGGAACCATGGGTCCGGTCCAATCTTTGCCCCAGGGAGGAATAATTGGCGTGAATATGTCGTGTGTCCACCAACGATTCGGTTGTTCAAAAGTACCGTGGCGCGGTGGCGTGCGTTGACAGATAGCTTGACCTTTTTGTGGGTTGCCTTTATCTTCTTGCGATATAGAACATGACCACTAGTATAATGATAATCCAACGAATCATAAACTGGTTTTCCCTTGAGTTGTTGGACGGGTGACCATGGTAGCTGCTCGAAATCAACCTGACGTACCTCCCAATGATCAAATCGAATAGATACTGGTAAGGGATTCTGGTGATGTTCAAAGATCAAACTACGAACAAATGGCAGATCATAAAGAACAGATCCAGAAGAGAGTCGATTGTCCTCAATAGGATCAAATGAGATAAAGTGAGCTGAACGTTCTGATGTTCTGTGCTTGATCTCGACTTGTCTTGTCTTTTTGTTGTAAAAGAATTCGTCAGCACCCCAAGCGACAAATGAAGGGTAATTCTTTTGGCCGTTGTTCCAATAAGGTTCATTAAATGCAGCATAGAGCGTGCCTGCATCATATTTGTCAAGACCAATGATGTATAAGCTTCCATCTGTTGTTTCTAATCTAGTCCATCCATGACTCTTTTCAAACGAGAGAATAAAAGTAGGCCCATCTGCACGCAGGACATTGTCTTGCATATTACCGCTCAACTTTATCTGCTTATTCTTAAAGACCATTCCACCAACCATATTGGGTTCCACAATCCATACTTCCTCGTGCCTATCTTTATTAATGACACGAGAAAGTATGGGAACAGTAGATAAAATCAGATGCAGGTCATTTTGAGTAACATAATTTCCAAGAGCGACAAATGAGGACTTGTAAGGAATATGGCATCCAAGTGTTACAATACTGTTGTCATCAAGCTCTATGGTAACATCGAACGTCTCACGCTTCTTTCTGTCAAAGTTCCTAAAGAATGTAAAGGTTACTGCTTGATCTGCTTGAACTGCTTGGCGTTGAAGATTAAGTGTATGCGGAATTGACGTCTGGATCTTGGGCTGAGCAACGAGTTCTGTCTTGGTGAAATAGGGATCAAATGATCGAGCAAACAGAATAGACTTGCGTACGTTTCTACCCCTTGATGAGAGCATACCGAATTCACGGATACAAGCTGAATAGTCATAAGAAGTATAGACATCCCTATTTCATGTATTTTAGCTTTTGTTTCTGTATTCTTCATTCTAACTTACGGATCGCCCAATGTTCCCCAGTTAGTACCGCCATATCCCATATAGATACTGGCGATGGTCACTCCTTGGGCAAGAGAAGTTTCATATAACAGCCTTGTATACTCATCACCGTAGTAATCGTATATTTGATCATATGTATGTTGTAGTTGATAATGGTTAAACCAACCACCTTGCAGCTCAGGTATAAACATGGGAGACTATATAGTTGAACAGCAGATTCTTTGCAGAGTATCGTATCATTCTTACCTCTTTAGCTCCACCACCAAATCCCCTGACCTTCTTCTCTAGTTTGTCCATTGAATTCTCCAAGTTCTTTGGGTTCCACTCTTCCCAGGAGCCAACAGAGACGCCACTGTTGATAAGCCATGACTTGGGGGAGCTTGAAGGAGCGAAGACTAAAGCCGGTAAATTAGAGTCATGATAAGGACATAGGAAGATACTTACTCACGTATTTATCAAACCCATAAAGATCTAAACCAAACTTACTCTTCTCCCAAGCCTTTTTCTTGCTACTATCCAATTCTGGACGTGGCACCCAGCCACCTTCTTCAAAACCGTCGTTTGAGAAAAGGGGAACCGTTATTCCTACATCTCGTGCTGCTTTTGCTAATACTCTCATTTGATCATGCAATCCAATAGGAAGTAAATTTGCCATTGTCTCAAAGAGTTCATTGTCAATCTGCACAGCCAAGACACATCCTTTTCTTCCTGTATCGGTTGAAGTCACTTGATGCTTTGCAATAATAGGTAAAATCTGTTCAAGCCATTGAATCTCGTAGTTTGCAAATTTGGGATCATAGACGCGCCAAAGCATGATATAGTTATGACGTATACGTAAATCGCGCTTTGCGACTAACCAACTTGGATAGCCACCACCTGAAGTCTCTGCACAAATGTATGGACCTGGCGCTGCCAAGACAAAGAGATCCAATTCTTCGCAAAGTGTGAGCAAATAGTCGATATCACGATTACCATCAAATAGATAAACGCCCTCGTCTGGTGAGTGATAACCCCAGTGAAAGTATATACGAATAGCATTAAATCCTGCTGTACGATATTGCTTCAGTATATCAGACCATCGTTCTCTATCAGGAATACGCCAATAGTGAAATTCTCCAGCATGAATTTGTGTAGGTACTCCCTCAATTTGAAGTGAGTATTTGTCCCAATCAAGAAGATTATGATACTTTGTACGATTGTACGCAACTGAACTTGTTGAGATGTCAAGATTTCCAAAAGTACGGTAATGAGCATAAAAGTAAAATGTCCCAACTATCACTGGGATTAGTGCAAACAACGAGAATAACGGAGCCATGTCTGACATGTATTCCCCTTGTTAGCTTAGATTACACGGAAAGAAAAAAGGGAGACTACTGAATTGATTTTTTTTAAATGGCGCTTGCATAAATATTAAAAAAGCAAATAAAAAAAAAGAGGGGGAATAGAAAGGTTTATACGAGAGAAGCAGCAGACTGCTCAAAGTACACAGGTACCACGCTAGCCAATATTTGTCCAAATTGTTTGGCATTATGTACTATTGTGTGCACATTCTCTTCTTCTGTGCCCAAGAAGTCACGTATAGTCCAGGAAGGGGCCTCACCTACTCCCAAACGAAGATTTTCTGCAAACCTGTCCACCCATTGCTCCTTGTACATCGAAATCTTGAATTGTTTATGATTAGGTTTAAATTCTGAAAAGTCCAAAGGCAAAGTTTTATCCTCTCGCTTGATTTCGTTCAAATCCCATAACTCCTCTTGACATATTTCAATAGTGAAGTCATACCAGCTATATCTCCATTTTGTCTTTTGCTTGACTATCTTGGGATTATAATCGAAAACAGGGGTCATTATAAGACGCCCAGAAGGGCTCAGTTTTAGATTCTTTGAGAACTTTTCATGGGGAGCATTCACATCATCATAAGGAAGACTTCGAGCAAACTGCACCTTCAAGTCCCAGGAGTAAGGCTGTTCAGCATTAAAACAACTAATGTCTACCAGGTCTGTGCACTGAGTTACTGTACTCCACAATCCACGTTCACCCTTATCTGTAAATGCGACCTCCGTACGCGTTTTCCACATTTCTCCTCGATTGACATCCTTCTTGCGTAAATCTGCTGGAGAGGCAGCAATGGGGTATTGATGAGCCAATATGACAAAGGATGTCTTGGGATTCTCAGAGAATTCTTGTGCCTTGGTTCCAAGGTATTCAAAGAGCATATCAAGGTTTTCAAGTGATTTACTCATACATGGCGCCAAAGCAGACTTGAACCTTTTTTTCTTAAACATATTATCGCTGACCTCTTCAATAGTCAAATGCATCTGATCCTTTTTAGGATAATCTACCAAATAAATTGTGCCAAAGCGAATTTTCATTCGAATATCCCAATCTTTTAGACGTATGCTTTCTAAGCCTCTGTCGAGTAATCGCTGAATCACCTCTTCATTTCTTTTGTCCAATGTTTTAGCTTTTTCGGAGAGAGCACCTCTCATCTGTTGACTGTCATTTAATGAAATCAAACTGTCCTCCACGCTCGCGTTCCAATAGGCTATGTTGGCTTCGAAACCAGTGGTGATTGTTTCAAACATACGTGATCTATCTCGAAGCTCTTGTTCTCTGTGTGGAGGTATATAGTCATAGAGAACAAAATCAGGTGGTAGCTTTCGATATTTGAGCGCCAAGTTAGCGCTTGGTTGCTGCATTAATCTTGCCACACCGGCTTCAGGTTCACGACAACAACGCAGGTGCCAGTTACGGAGACGAGCAGACGCTGCCTTGATATTGGCTTCGTCATTTGAATACAACCTAAAGATGCGATTCTGAGCATCATATTCAATATATGTTTTGCAGTCAATTCGTATTTGATTCAAATAGGAATCATTGTTGCCAACAATACGGTTGATAGAAACAGCATCACTGGGTGAGTAATAAACTGAATAATAAGGGAGTTTCTCAGTAGGCTCGCCTAGATATTTCTTTTCTTCAAGAATCCTCTGCTGTCTCTTCTCTTCTCTTCTCTTTTCTTCAATGGTCAATTCACGATCAGGTCGACTCCATTTCTTTGTTTTACGAAGTAAAGTGACGTCAAGTTCTGCAATACGATTAGCAATCATGTTCAAACTGTGCTTTGCTTTATCGATACATAAAGGATCGCCCCAGAGGTCTATTTGATGCAAAGTGTCATTATAAGACATGTAAGCGCCAGTCGAACGCATCATCTCTTTGAAGCGAGCACGTCCAGGACCCAAGATATCTGTTATGGTACAATGTGGAGGTAGAACCCAATAGTCGTCAGGTTTACCTGACGGACGAACGCTGACAAAAGATTCCATGGCTGTAGATGCTCTACTGCTTCTTCCACTAACAAGCGTCGAACTGTCGTCAAAAGTATTAGAGAATCGCGTGGATGGAGCAAGTGTTTCACCAATGTGAGGGTCTCTCCAGTGATCATCGTCATCAGATAAATCTTCTTGTCCTTTGAAAGGGTCTGACATTTTTTTGTTTTCTGAATGATCTTTGCAGGATAAATAACTCATCGTCTGTGTACATAGTCTCATTGTATTGGCGGCTTAGCCCCCCTTTCTGTAATTTAAAATACAGAATGTTGTCAGAGCGAAACAGACAACCCACAAAAAAAAAAGAGTCGCGTCCTTCTCTCTCTCTTTTTTTTCTCCTATACAGAATATATAATATAATGCAATACACTATACCTGATCAAAATCATGGAACAGTTGCTGAACATAATGGAGACATAAGTAAATAGATTACTCTTAAAGACGAGCTCACTATTAACACTTAATTCAGTCAATGTGGAGAATAACGAAAGTGATGTCAAGTCTACTGTGTTGAACAATAAGGCAAATCAAACACGTTAGTTTTACTTTTCTGTTATAATGACATTTTCTTGTATAGATTCCTCTGTACCCTTCTATTCAATTCAAGCCTATAGAAAACCAAGCATCAGACTATGTGAATACAGCTCCGTCTAAGGAGTTCAACATGTTTGAAGCTAAATATAATGAGCTGACTCAGTCTATTGAAACATACATTAAAAAGAGGTAAAGCTAACTATTTTATATTATCACTCTAATATCTTCTCTTTTCTATTAGCTTAAATACGATTGAACAAACGTGAGTAGTTGATATGCCTTATATATACTATCTATTTATTGATACACTCTAAAATAGCAACGCCTATGCTACAGCCAAGCGAATTTATGACTATGTCAACAAGAGTTATTTCAAAGTTGAGACTGGTCTTCCAAGTGATATACAGATCAGCAGTGATGGTATATTTAAGAGTATCTCTTGGCACCCTCATCAAGAAATATTGGCAGTTGCAGACAGGGCAGATCGTATCTATTTGTACACAAAACAAGAAACAACATGGAAATGCCAAGTGCTAGAACATGTGTTGATGAAGGATATTCGATGCATCGAATGGAAACCAAAGGCAACAGGAACACTTGCAGTTGGATGTAAAGCAGGTGTTTGTGTATGGAATATTAGCATTCATTTGAACTATATATCTAATACGGGTATTTGGTATCACCCTGCTGCTTCTATGCAACATCTTGAATATCCAGAACAGGAATGCGTCACTGCCATAGCTTGGGATCCTTCACCTGGAAGTCATTTATTAGCTATTGCTTCATCTGCATCCAGCGCATTGATTATTCACGACATGCTGTTGAACAGAACAGTTGCCCTTAAGCGTTATGGAAAAGGAAATACAATAGTAAGATGGAGTAATGATGGTAAATGGTTATTTGTGGGAGGAACAGCTGGTGTTTCTCGCATTTGGTCGAGTGCCACTTGGGCATCAAAGCAACTAAAGAATCCGCCTGGTCTATGGGTTCAAGCAGCATGTTGGTTGCCTGATAATATGACATTATTGTATTCAATGAAGAGTAAAAATGATATTCATGCCTTATGTCTATCTGGGCCCACATTCAAACAAGGTAATGTCTGAAAGGGGGGATAGAATACAATGATTAACAGTATATATATATATAAATAGATGTATGGGATATTAAAATGATCACCGTTCATTCAGCAGCAATATCTGATAGTGCTTCTCATACTGGAAACACTATTCAAGATATAGCCATTGACCGTAGATATGGACAACGAATAGCTGTCTTTTTTGAAAACTCACCCATCATCAATCTGTACAATGTTCAACTTTCTCCTCTAAACATACGAGAAAGAAAAGCATTTCATCAGATGTAAGCTTATTCTTGCTATAGACTATTGATATCTAATTACTACTTGTATAGTGGATACATACGTGGAGCACAAGTAGAATATGGAAACAAAGGATCTATTCATGTGTCTGCCTTAAAGAACGAAACAAAGCCTCTACATATCTCTTTCTCATCGTTTTATAAACAAGGAGCTGTATTGGCTATAGCATGGGATAACGGTGTCATTACGTTCGTTACCCATAACTTGAAGATTACACTTGCTAATTTATGTTAAATAAAAAGGAGGAGGATTTCTAGACCAGCACAGAAAAGACATTTTTTTCTTTTATTATATATTGTATCTATAAAAATGAGTCAAGGGTTAGCCACGACAACTGCCGCTTTATATAAAGTATAACCTTTATTTCAATAGATTAACTCAAGATGACTTTAGAAAGCTCATGGCTACACCACGTCAGCCAAGCAATGAAGAAGTAGCAACACCTTCAACACCACGAACACCGTATGTACTTACAATATCAAAATACGCTCTCTACTAAAACCGTATAGAAAAAGCTCAGGAGCTGTTTTTGCAAAACCACACGCTCTTCGTAAGAAAATGTAATAACCAAAAAAAAAAACAAGCAGATTCATAATGATTGATCTGATGTGTATATACAAATAGATTTCAAAAAAAGATTAATAAAAATGAGAATGAGGAAACAGAGACACCCTTGAGCACCTATCGTGATCGAGCTGCTGAAAGACGTCAACAAGAGTTGGCAGAGGACGATTCACAGTTGACAACTGAAGAACTATTAAAACGAACACAAAGAGAGGCAGACGAAGAACTGAATGCTCAGCAACTTTATGAACAATCAAAGTATTTAGGAGGTGATATAGATCATACTCACCTTGTCAAGGGTTTAGATTTTGCTTTATTAAGTAAAGTAAGACGAGATCTATCAAAAGAAGAGAAGCAGCATCCAAAAGAAAATGACATTGTTGTTGAACAACCAACAACAACAAATGCAGAAGAGCCATTACCTGTCGAAGTCATGGACGGCAAGCCCAAGTTTCACAGTGTGATGGCCAAAAATATTTACGATCTAATCATGAAAGAATCAAGAGAGACTAAAAAGAAGCGAGTGGAACTATTTGAGCCTGGAAGGATGAGTTTTGTATTTGAACTAGCAGACGAGGTTGGATATTACTCGGACGCATTCGCTGTACCTACAGCTGTTATCCGAAGCAAAGCAGATATGGATACGAATGGTCCAGCAGACATATTTGCTGAAATGAATTTGGTGGCTGAAAAGATTTCTCAGGTCATGACCAGTATTCGACATGGAGAAGATCGAAAGAAGCCAGTGGTGAATACGAATAGATCCATACATGCTACCTTAACTGCAGAACCAGTGGCGATGTCTGAGGATGGGTTTAGTGGTGATATATTTGCAGACGTTGGACGAGATTATCAATTGGATGAAAGCACAATTGAGGCTTCAGAGAAAAGACAGGATATCGAAACAGAAACGACCAATAAGGAAAGCTACTTTAAAGGGTTAGCAGTGGACGATGAAGAAGAAGATGAAGTCATGCCAGATGCTAAAGAGACCGTAGCATCCATTTTATCTCAAGCGAAAGAAGAGAACACACAGCCAGAGCAGAGTCAAAAAAGAAGAAAGTTGGATAACGTTGATCGTGACATCATGGACATGGATGCGGCAGATATAGACATGTTTGGCTTGGGTTCATCCGCTCTGCCTACATCATTTGACGAACGCTCAAAACTAACAGCCTATCAATCAGATGATGAAGAGAGTAAAACACATCTCGTCGATCACGGCACGAATCGCAACAAGAAAGCACAATTGACTCGATGGGACTTTGACACAGACGAAGAGTGGCAAAAATACAAAGACTCTATCGAAATCCTTCCAAAGAGCGCAGTTCAATTTGGTGTCAAGGTGAACGATGGTCGCAAGAAAGGCAAAGAAAAGAAGGGATTAAACGATAAGCAAAGATTTGATAGAGACTTTCAACAAGTCAAGAGCATTTTATCACAAAAGTATGGCAAATCTTTGGAATAAAGCAAAACAGGAGGCAACTGTGTGTGTTTTATACAATAATATTTACAAATCTCCTCTAATGTTTCTTTGAATAAGATTTCGTCATCCACGAATGCTTTAAGGCCTCTTCTGGCTTCATACGCTTTTCTGGGTCCCAGATAAGACATTTGCTGACAAAATCTATAAAAGATTCATCGGGCATGTTCAAGGCATGCTCTAGAGTTTTAGTACCCGGTCTCCGTTTCCTGCCTTTAGAATTTGGTGTGATTCGTGGATTGCCTTGTGAGTCTGATAAAGATTAATAAGGGCATATATAATGCTTTTATCTACAACATACCAAAAAATAATTTTCTCCTACTACTCTTTTCAATAAGGTAAGGTTCTGGTACACCGAGTATTTCCATTATACAAGCAAGTTGTTCCTGTTCATTTTCACCAGGGAATAACGGATAGCCTGTATGTAACTCTGCCAATATACAACCTGTGCTCCACATATCAATAGCCATGTTGTAGTTCATTCCCATGATCACCTCTGGTGATCTATAAAATCTACTTTGAATGTATGTATACACTAGAGAAACGTTGGTACACCCTTGGTCTTGACAGTCATCTTTTTCTTTTACCTTTTTCACTTTCCAGACAAGAACTACCAAAGTCAATGACTTTGATTGTGCTCTTTGTTGGATGCTTCAACAGAATATTCTAAGCAAGAGTTAGCTTAATAGCTTGGCAAAGTATATGGATCGATTACCTCAGGCTTTAGATCACAGTGAATCAGCTTGTGTTTTTGTAAAAGTACAAGAGAGTTTAGTAGCTGCATAGCAAATCTAAAAGAATATGAATAAATTAGGCTTTTTTTGCAGTAGTGCAAATGTTACCTTCTAATAAGCCCCATGCTAAAGCCATGGAAACCGTTGCTTTTGATGAATTCGTATAGATTGATGCTCAAGCATTCAAAGGCAATACATAAGTGATTGCGAAACATGAAATGACCCAGCATTCTGACATTATTGTGCTTATCATCTGGATCCCAAGCGATGAGATCTTTAAGTATTTTGATTTCTACGAGTGCTTGAGCATGAAATCTCTTTTTGTTTCTGATGATCTTGACTGCTACAGTTTGACCTGATCGGTGATCATAGCATTTCAATACTTGGCCAAAAGAGCCTTTGCCCATCACTTCCAATATCTCGTAGCGATAATCCAAATGGTCTCTTAGTTGAATAATATAATCTCCACGCTCATCGTCGTATCCATAGTTGTATGCAGAATTGCTTGGACTAGCTGGCCTCTTTTGTGCATGATGGCCCACAAAATAGATGTGATCGTACTTCATCATTTCCACTTTTTCATAAGATGTCAGATTGAATTGGTATAGTTTTTGTGCAGCTAATTTATGCAAAATGAACAAGTTGTTTTTCTAAAAATAATAATCTTGTACCTTCGGGTGTCATGGCAACGCGCATCAATACTTTGGGAATAGCCGTCGTCTTTTTCTCACTCTCTGTTGGAGCAAGACCTTTACCTCTCAATACGATCTCTGACTTTCCTCCAGTCTTTTCTTGCTCCAATTGAGCTGTCCATGACTTGCTTTCGTTCACCATACCTTGTAGTCGTTCCTGAAGGGTTGATACCTTTCTTTTTGAGTTGCTCGCTAAAACTACTTTTTGTTTAGTTTAGAGTATTAATGGATGACTTGGATAACACTTACTGCTCTTGCTAGATACAGAGTTTGTCAAAGTTGTTACACGTAAAGCAGAAGATGTGGCAATAGAGGTTGATCCTGTAGCAACGGGTTGTGGAGCGGTGTTATCCGTCATACTGTTCTTACGCAATAGATTTTCATCTGTGCTCTTGTTTGATTTGCTAACTTGAAGCTTTGGTGTCAGAATGGTGTTTGATTTTGGTTTTCGAAGTTGATGTGCGGTTGTTTTGCTCTTGCTTGATTTCATTACAGCGGGCTTAGAGGGTTCATCATCATTCGCCTGCTTTGCTAACGATCTTGATATTGAGGTAGAGCCAGGTAATGGTATCCTTGTAGGTGTCTTTGGTAGGTTACGGGTATGCTTTGATGAAGGTATATTCAATGGCTCTACTTTCATAGGTGGTAATGTTAATGGTGCAACGGCTGGAGGTGTAGCAAGACTTCCAGGCAAGGTCTATTAAAATATGAGTATTTCATGACATATATGCGCCACATAGATAGGACAAATGTGCCAGCTCCTTACACACTACCTTTCCCCTTTTTCTTTTCACAACAGTTCCTGACTTGCTTTCTTTTGCCTTTTTAACCGTTGCTGCAGTTGTATTGGTAATAGATGTCGTGTTTGCTGTTGTAGTCGACATGTTGCTCGTAATACTCAGTTTTACTTTACGTTTTGCGACTGTGGTACTGCTGCTACTATTATTGTTGCTGCTGCTGATGGCGCTGTTATTTTGCTTGTAGCTTTTGAGATATTCATCAATGGATTTCTGGTCATCATTATGTAAAGTAGACAGCGAACTTAATTTTCTTGTTCGTGGCTGATCTTGTTGAGGCGAGATGCGAGATAGCTTTCTTAAATTATGAGTTGTTGCACGTGGAGTAGTGCTTGAGCTGATACGAGGAGATTCAATTTTAGGTGATGCATTGGAGACTGTAGATCTTGTTGCAATAATAGACGAAGTATCAATAGCGTTCTTCTTCCAAGAATGTCTATTTTCATTACTATTACTGCTACCGTTATTTTCAAATATACTTTTAACTCTCAAATAAGATGAGCTCTTTTCTAGAGGAGAGGTTATTATAGGTTCAATTGGATCCGAGTTGTAATGCTTTGTGTTGGAGAGCCGATCATGCTGACTACTACTACTACTAGTTGTCGTACTGGGTGTAGTTACGCCATCTTCCAACAGCTCCTTCCATCTTCCGATTTCATCAGATGACTTTTGAGTCGTACTCTTTTGATTTCTTAATCGATAACTAGCTAATCTTTTAGCTGAAGCAGCGATCAAGTCCTCAAGATCCTCCAAAGTAGCATCTTCTAGATGATTGGTCTTTAATTTCTGAGGTTGTTCTTCATCTATTATTGGACCACGGCTTGTATATATCCATTCTTTTCGTTTTTGATTATTCCAATTTGTCGTTTCTGTGACTTTGTCTTCTAATTCCTTTAATTGTTTCATTCTTTCTTCTTGGATCTGTTTTCTTTTGGCTGCATAAGATGATTGAACCTTGTTCCATGGTTCCTGAGATAAGGAAGTGCTAGATGTGCTCGGTTTATACTCGGTAAACAATTGAGAGTCTGACATGATCATTTAAGGGGACACGCACACACACTCACACACAAAAATAAAGTAAAAAGAAAGAAAGAGAGAAAAAGAGAGAGAAACAATAAATACAAAAAAAATAATTAGGAGAAATAAACCCTGTATTGTTTTGTTTTTGTTAAATATAGTATTTTATTCATACGACTTCTTTACCTCTTCTCTTTGTTTTTGCTTCTTTTATAAGGTCTTTTCCTTTTATGTGCTTTGTTGTTTTTGTCAATGAGACCAAGATGAGAAGGGAAAAATAAAGGAAAAAAGAAAAAGAAAAGCTGCTGTCCAAGTTCATTGGGCACTTTGGTACAACAATGTAGACTCAAATAGAAAGTCCGAAAACGATGTATACCTCTACAGTGCACAAGGCGTAGCTTGAAGTGAGGAGGGAATAGATGACGATTAAACTCTAATAAAGTATATGTCTTGTCTACCATATCCAAACCTTACATTAGACTCAAACACAGGTGAAGGTCGAGAAAGATCATGAGACAATATCATGAATGAGTGTATGTATTAAAGGATTAATACATTAAATGCCCTTTATTTGTTATTATAGATACTATATGTAATTTATGATGATGAATTAAAGTGATGCAACCGTTCAGGTCTTTAAGCATCTAAATCTGGCTAGTCCTAAGCTCGTGTTTGCTTTTGGACAAACCAAAACGACTAAAACCCAGTCATGGTCACACCTTTCGTTTCTGGACTGGTTTCTTTGTAACAAACGTTTTACAGCATGTATTCTTTTGCCAGTAAGAACATTAAAAAAGGGATATACAGCATCTGGTGCACTTTCCATTTTTGTATTGTATCCAAGACATGCTGTACGGTTCATTTTATCGAAAATACCTTCAAATTGCGTGTTCATTGCATAATGTTTGTTCATTGTGAAATGTTTAAAGGCCAACAAGAAGATACTGAAATCGATGGTCTGGGGCGTGTTCTCTTCTTAAGAGAAAGCATGCATAAATAACGATTCGGCAATATTTTTATTTCTAATTGTACTACAGAAGCTATCCAATACAATAAAAGTATTACACTATTGCTTTTAAGCCTGAGGTCAATCAAAAACAGAGCGTGTGTGCAGATATGAAACGCGTATTTTAAGAAAATAGCATATAAATAGCTTTAAACTGTCGATCAAATCAGGATAACTTACAGATATCTTGGTTTATCTGATCATGTTACACTTTTCCTTTTTCTTCCTTCTTTCTTTCTTTGGCCATGACGTGAAGAACAAACCTGTAATAAATGAATATTGTTAGAAAAGGAATCATTTTAAACTAGGCTTGAAGTCAAAGGTGATTTTTAAACTATACTTAAATAATTAAGGAGAATCTCTCTTATTCTCCTTTTTATCATAAAATTAGTTTCTGTAATCAATGTCATATTACTTATTAAAAGCAGTTGAATGAAGAGAACACTACCTTCTTCCCCCTTTTTTTTTGTTTTTCTTTTCTTTCACATTTTCTTTTTTTTTTTTACTGCAGTAATAACATATTTTTCTTCTTTCAGTAAAACATAAGAGAGCAGTAGACGCTGCTTTTTTAAGTCAATAACATTGATAATAATTTGCTCAGCATTGTCCGAGAGGATTAATTTATGCACTGAAAAAAAAAAGAGTATTCTTAAATCCGCATTATACGTTAACCAACCGAATACAAGTAATTCCCCCTTGAGATTCTTTTGATATGCTGAAGCCAATTATTTGCGAAATTTATGAATACGGACGTCAAAATAACCAAAGGCGATGTGTAACAATATCTTTGGCCTCTTTAAGGATATGTAGCATATTCAACAAATGCATATTCTTAATCCCATCGGCTGAGGTCAAGTTGTCGTCCCACTTTTGATTTGCACAATAGTGTTTCAACAAATAAATGACATGGTTATTATTCTTTTAGTAATTTTAAAATAATGATCCACTTGACTAAAATGTCATCAATAAATAATCCTGTATAGTGAATTCTATAAGAACTCTATGGTAACCATTTCTTTTTTCTTGTACCAAGTTGCCATGGCAAAATAAAAAAGAAATTCTAGGAAAAAAAAAGTATCACGTAATTTCTCACGATAAGATGTGAATAACATTTTTGATTGGATACGTTGATCAGTCTCAAGTTGCACAAGAATGTACCTGACATGTAAACAAGACAAGTCTAGGCATCATATGACTTTATTTGCAGCTTCTTTCTTTTTACAAGTGCATCCCTTGATACATACACTTTTTATTTATTTGTAAAAAAGATGGAAAGGAAGGATATGAAACACTAATGCAGTAGAATAAAAGATGCTTAACAAAACTCCGCTCAAAGAAAACGATTATATGTATGTATGTGTGTATAGACTAATGAGTAAAGAGTTGATCATTGTTTATGGTTCACTAAACATGTTTTAGTCAATTGAATTGACTATTTGGATTGTAAAAGGCATAAAAAGAGAATTCATAATTTCTATTGGATAACCTTACTGTTCCGCTCAATGAATATAAAAGAAAAATCCTTTTTTTTCTTTTTCTTTTTTTTTCTTCAAAAAAAAAACCCATGGAGCATCTTTCGATTGAACTTGTAGAATTAATAGCAAAGCAATGTCGAGCATCCAACAAAGACCTGGCCTCCCTTTGCTTAGTGAACCGTCATTTTTACTCTGCGGTGATCCGATTGTTGTATAAAAATGTAATCATCCACGGGCCAAGACAATACCTGGCGTTCAAGTCGACATGTACTCGGTTAAAACAGATGGTCTATCGACTCGATTTCTCTGGATATACTACACGAGGCGCTCGGTGGACAGAGTCCAAGGCGAAATCAGTTGTGACAGCTGAAGATTTAGCTGTCATATTAAATGAATGTCGGCAGTTGAAGGAGTTGTTTGTTGGAGAAGAACTCATGCATGTTTTTGTGTCACCTTTGGCTATCCAGTCTGTATTTTTTGAACAACAGCTGCGCACGCTTGATTTCACTGGATTCTCTGACCAAACGTTTACCAAGGCGATGGCAGATTACTTTATGGAAAAGAAACAAGTCACGTATAATCATCATTATGACGATGCTTCGTCCCACTGGGTTATTCCTAAAGAGCTAGAGAATATATCATTTTATATGTGTATGGCACTTTCACAAGATCGGTTCTTTGTGCCCTTTTTTGACAAACTAAAGAGTGGTGGTCATCAGCTAAAGAAGCTTGATTTAGCCTATACACAGATTAATAGTCAGCTCTTTAGACATCTGCCGTCTCCTAGAACCTTGACACATCTCAATCTCCAAGGATGTCATTCTTTATCGTGCTGCTCTGAATTAATAGACTATCTGATGCAATGTAAACGATTGGTACAACTGAACGTGAATAGACATATTGCAAGTGGATTTTGCAAAAGGTGCATCTATCAACTACTAACGTCGATTGATACTCTGGAGATAGTTGATATAGGAGGACACGTCGAATTTGACGATGAACTGATTCAACAGCTTCCACCGAATAGAAATATAAAATATCTATCAGTTGCCAACTGCCGACAGATAGACATAAAGACATTATTAAACAAGTTTCCTCAGTTATACTATTTGAATGTAGAGCGTGTCATCAATATGAACCAACTTTATAACTTTTTAAAATCTAATAACAATAATTTACGTATTATCGAAGTATCATCACACCCTTCATTATTAAACCAGATAGGATCATGGCATTTGGTAAAACATGGCCGTAGAGCGTATTATAGTCAATCTGCTGTTGATCCAAAGTACTGTTATTCTAAAAAGATAGTCATGTCAAAGGATCCTATTCTGTCTCCGATGAATAGATATTGGTGTTATTCATATAATATCTCTACATAATAAACCAAAGGAGTTCTTCTTCTTCTCCTTTTACTCTTTTTTTTTTCTCTTTTATCTCTTTCTTTCCCCCCTTCACAGTTACCAAACACTGTCTCTAATAGATATTAAAAATTGAAATTCAGTTTCATTCTTGTACAACATTAATAGTTACCTTTCTGTGTGATCTCTCTCGCTCTTTCTCTGTCTTGCCTTCTTCTTCCCCTCTCTCTCTTTTTTTTTTTTCTTTTTTATATTTAAAACGTATATTCCCCCTTTTTATATTCACTTTTTTTTTTCTATTACTTTTTACTATTGTTAAGCTTTTATTATGAGAGAATATAAACTTGTTGTCTTGGGCTCAGGAGGTGTTGGTAAATCAGCCTTGGTAAGATTAACTATTGAAAAATGACCTATTACTCATTCCTCCAAAAAAGACAGTTCAATTTGTTCAGTCTATCTTTGTAGAAAAGTACGACCCAACGATCGAAGACTCATATAGAAAACAAGTTGAAGTGGACGGACACCAATGTATGCTCGAAATATTAGATACGGCAGGCACAGAACAATTTACTGCTATGCGTGACCTTTATATGAAGAATGGACAAGGATTTGTGCTTGTATTTTCGATTACAAGTCAAGTTACTCTGACTGATCTTGATGAAATAAGGGAACAAATCATTCGAGTGAAAGGTTCTGACAACGTAAGGAGCTCTTTTCTCTATCTTTCTATTATATATCATCGTATTAGGAGATTTATATATAATATTCAATAGGTTCCTATGGTATTAGTTGGTAACAAGTGTGATCTTGAAAACGAAAGAGTTGTTTCAAGAGAGAAAGGAATGATCTTATCACAACAATGGGGAGGCAAACCATTTTATGAGACGTCAGCAAGGTTTAAAATAAATGTAGATGAGGTGTTTTATGATGTTGTTCGACAAATTAACAAACAAAACCCATCAAAAGATAAAATGAAAAGAAAATTCAAGTGCCTTATTCTCTAATACACAAATATATATTTACTCTTTATATTCCATTAAATAAATATCCTCTTTTCTTTACCATAAAAGACCATTTTTCACGCCTTTTTTTTGGGACATTTTTTTTATAAAAAAAGGGGGGGGAGAATATATTATTACATATTATTTGTTAAAGTGTATTTGCTATTTTATATTATTACATCAAGATACAGCATTTATCAGAAGCTACATCTTGATTATCTTGAATACCAAATTGATGATCATTATTCCCTCGGGTTTCTTGCTCCTTGTTGTATCTTCTAATGTCTCTAACTACTTCAAAAAAGGCTTCATCTACATTGATACGTTGTTTGGCTGATGTCTCAATGAATTGGCATCCAAAATTCTTTGCCAAGTCTCTTCCTTCTTGACTAGATACTTGTCTATCTGTTTCTAAATCACATTTATTGCCCACTAATACCATAGGGAAATAATCTCTATCCTTCACACGACAAATCTGCTGATAAAATGTTGTAATTTCTTCAAATGACATACGAGAAGTAATAGAGTATACTAGCAAGAATCCTTCTCCATTTCTCATGTATTGTTCACGCATGGCACTGTAATGAATGAGTATATAAAGCCCCCTCCCCCTTATTTTTATTATTTTACCTGTATTCTTCTTGACCGGCTGTATCCAATACATCTAATAAAGCTGTCTCTGAATCAATGATACACTGCTTACGGTATGAGTCTAATTTTAATATTCTTGTGTTACTATTATATCATTCTATACACTTTATATACATGTATATATATATAATATATATAAATGCATATATATATATATATATATATCTCACCTTCAATGGTAGGGTCATATTCGTCTACAAAGTGTGATTGGATAAATTGAATAGTCAAGGCCGATTTACCAACACCTATATAGATTTCACTTTAGTCTCAAAGAGATGATGAACCAATCTTACATTACCTCCACCACCAACCATAACTAACTTATATTCACGAACAAACGAAGTGGCTTTGGACATATTCTATCGTTGTTATGGTTGACTTTAAAAAAGAGACAAGGAAGAGAGAGAAGGGAAAAGAGAAAAGAGGGAAAAGAAGAGGAAAAAAAAGACAGTGACCGGAATTAAAATGATACATTCTGTTGAGACTCAGTGGATGTGAGATACTTTTTAGAGCAGAAAATAGACAAATTAGGAAGGAGTCAATAAAGAGACCCTGACATATTCCTTGATGTTTACAATCATCTTTGTTTTACTACATGTATTCTCTTTTGTATATTGCTTTATATAGTTTTCACACTTTAAATTCAGACAATGTTAGTTTTTTTTTCGACGAATCAAAATTAATTTTCAGATGTTTGCCTACTTTTTTGGATGACATAAAAAAGGAAATTAGTTTTCAGACAACTTTAAAAATAACAATTGCTCTTTTTTTACCTGTAGGTATCTTTAAGCCTTCACTAGTTAGAGCGAGACAACCACATTGGAGGTGGCGCAATGCCTTTTAAAGACATTAGGGCAACCATGGCCGTTCCAGATAGATTCAGCAATGGCAAACATATTCTTCGCGGCCATGACATCCCGATTCCAATAAATATCGCAACTTTTGCAGATCGATATTTGGTGGATTTCGCGTGTATCATCATCATTGCCACATGAGATTTTATAGGTTATTTTCGAAACAGGAATTGCAGGTCTATAGGATACAGAAGTAAAATTTGTATTAATACTTGCATGATATTCACACATATATCTTCACCCTTGATATTTTGTATTCATCTATGTCAAGAAGCATCAATTCTCCAAGCTTTCCATGGAGCCTCAACTGCCTGTATACCCTTTCTGATACACCGTGCCTTAATCCTTTAAACTTTACATGGCTCTTATTTTTATGGCCATTGCCAAATACAACTAAAGACATTTTACTCCGGCCACCTTCCTCAAATTTTTCCTTATGTTTCCTTTCAAAAAAAAAAAACAATGCTTTTAGAGGAACAATAATACGAAGTATTTATGAATATGAGTAATGCCTTGATACATTTTCCCCTAGATTAGAATAGGCATCAGTAGGATTGCTTTGATATCTAGCCGCTGTCTTTCTTCTTTTCCTCTTGTTTCTTTTTCTTTTGTTATATTTTTTTGACCCGTTAATAAGGATGTTGACCGCATTTTCAGCCGCGCGCTGGGAACCGATGTAGTTGCACCATTTAATTCTTGCAGTTTCAAAGCTGTAAAAGTTTGGCGAGACACCCATATGCTATAGCATATAAGTTATGTGCATTATATAATGGTCAATGCATGCAGTTTTGGAGGAAGGCACTTGTGTTTCAATTTGCTTCACACTCGATCTTTTTTTACGCTCCTGTTCCATTTTTTGTCGGTTTACGTTTCCACTCATGTTGTAATACTCGGTCGATGACAAACGTCTTATGCCTGTATTTCCATGGTGTGAAACAAAGACATCTTTTCTGTTTGGGTCTACAGTACAAGGTCTAAAATAACGGTCTACCTCTTCACTGGTAAAATCGTGTAGCTTCAGAGAAGTCTGATTCACAGGTGAAGTTGCGTGTATTTTTTCACAGAATGATATTCTGCATATATATCCATCTGTATACATACTACTTAAAAGCATCTTTCCTTTTTATTCAGGTAAATCTTTCATCTCTTCAAGATTATACAAGTTCAAAATTAGTGTACTTATTACTCATGTACTATGTTAAGACATGCCTGTTAATTTTGAAAAATTAAAATAAGCAAAGAAAGGTCTTTGTGTATTCTGGAAAGGCATTTCTTCTCCTTGTTTCTGCAATACTGCCCCAGGAAATATGCCAGCCAAGTTTTGGCTGTCGATTTAAATGAAGCGTCAACGTAAACTTGGGTTTGGAAATAAACTGAAGGCTCGAGGTGGCACGAACTTTTTTTCTCGTTTTTGCCTTTCTGTTTGTCTCTGTTTGTTTCCTTCTTTTTTTTTGGTCTTCTTCTATTTAGTTGATTTTTCTGCTCTGGTTGTTCCTGCAAAACAGGTTGTGGTTGTGAAGCAGGCTGTAGTTGTGAATTCTTTGCAATTAAAGATCCGTACTTGACCAGAATATGTCTTAGTGCTGGCATGATGCCAAATAGAACTTTGTTAAGGGTTTATTTTGTTACAGAAAACGATAGAAGTCGGCTTTTGATCTCTAAAACTAACAGGTTTAAGAACACCCGGATTTTGTCTTGAATTTCTTCGCTTATGGAATAAGCAATGTTGTTAGTCATAATAATTTGTGGTCCAGGAGAAAATACCGCATCTAACACATGTTTATATACTATCTGATTTATCACGGGCATTCCCATACCCTTTCGATAATTAATGTCAATCTTCATAGTAAGTAGAACTATTTTTTGATTTCTCACTTACAGGAAATGCTGTACGAACCACGTATATAAAATGATTTGCTATAATATTTTGAAAGTTATTATAGCATGTAGCGAGAGTCTCACATGCACTTGATAATACTTGCCGTAATTGCTCAGACCATCTTCCTTGACTGTCAGATCAATGCCTTCAGTACCGCTAAGTTCTATCCATGTATCTACAAGAAAGAGAATACGAGAATATTTTAACTGGAGCTGCTCGATAGACAAGTTTTCGTTCACTACTCTACATATAGAATACCAAAAATTCTGTTGAAAGAGTTCGTTCATCAAGTTGTTGGATGTTTCAATATATAAAAATTGATGAAAAACTGAGCCTTGAAGACAACTTTTCGTAAAAACGTAGAAAGACTCTTGATTTTTTCAAGCGCTTCACTATACGCATCTTCATCTGTTGCGGATACGAATGATTTAAGTGGCAAAAAGACGGTGTACCTTTGATATCTAGAACCAAAGTTTCTTTCAATTAACTCTTGCAATGTAAAATTATGATTTGGCCACTCCTTGCTCCTAGCAAATGGATGATCGATATTACCGCAGGGTTTACATATTGAGCCTCGCGTGCTTGAGGAAATTGAATTCCGAGCCCTTTTTGCATTCTTTTTCTCTTCAAAAGTGTCTTTTCTTTTAATACCTATTAACAGTTTGAGTTATTCTGTTTCATTACATATAGTTTATATTATCTTTTTGTTTTATAATTTGTTTGTTTGCATTGTAACTGGTAGCTTCTTTTGTATACTTTCATATTTTTACTGTTTTTTGGCTTGTATGGAAGCTCCAGCATTTGAGTAAATCGGTATACGCATAATTTTAAAAATAAAGAAAAAACGACATTAACAAGATTGCAGTTAATTCAAAAGCATGATTAATTTTCATAAAGTATCCAATAATAGGCAGAGGTTAACTCAAGAGCGTGATTAGCTGAGCTGACATGGGCGGTATCATAATCTACAGAAATGTCTAAAACCATAATCAATGTCTAATCAAGACTTAAGAAACGCGTAACTATTATTTCTTTCTTATGCATTTGTTTTTATTCTCTTTATTTCGCGCACTTGACAATATTCAGTGCAAACTTCACACAATTATGTCCCAGTTCAGTAACATCGACACCCTATCGACGCTTCCAGTGGTACCCGCAATACGGAAGTAGCTACTCGTCGCGGCAAAAAGTACAATAGAATAAACACTGAGACGAGAAAACTCATTATTGGTAAGTCTGTTGCTAATGATAGCAGGTGCCTCTCGCCTGTTCAAACTTCCTCGGTTAACTATTGATAAAGTTGATGTTGATGAAAACAAAACTGAACGCAGACCTCGAGGTGAACGAAGACCAAAATTGGTGAAACTCTCAAGAAGTATTCGATTTGTCTGAAAACTAATTTCCTTTTGTATTTTATCCAAAAAAGGTAACACTGTCTGAAAGTTAATTTTGATTTGTCCAGAAAAAAAACTAACATCGTCTGAATTTAAAATGTGAAAACTATACTGAAATTAGCGGTCGAACTTAAAAGGCAATTTTTTGCTTTTTCCAGATTAGCTTGATCCAAAAAAGGAAACTCTTATTTTTTCATTTGAATCATGTAGCTTTAATCATACAGTTTCTTTTTTTTGAACTAAAAAGAAACTGAAGCAACAATTTAAAAGGATAGCATTAGGAAAAATCTGGTAAGCTTGTTTGATAAAGAAACTTCAGTAACCATTGAGGACACAAAGTGGATGATATAGTCAACTGTGTATTCCTTGATTAATTTGGGTTTGCTACCAATATGTGTTGCTACCGAGGCTCGCCCAGACGCGGGTTATCAGCTATTAGTGAGCATTCTTTATCAAAAGGTCAATTTACAGATTGTCACCGAAGTGATTTCCGCTTTTGGTGTGATTAATTTAAGAATGAAAATTGGGGAAATGTCAAAAAAGAGATAAAGGGCAACTGAGAATAGACTAACTGCTCCTAAAGGCATTGTATCTAGTCATTATCTACGGTACATAGATAACACAATGGACACCATGGATGAATTTTCTGAATGTATGCTTCCTGAAAAGATTGATAAAGAAAAAGTACATATCTATGTATCTTGCCTATTTATTCACTCGTTGAACAGTTTTAGGGTATTTTAAAGTCAAGCAAATTAAGTTTAATGATGTGAAAACACTTGTTCAAAGATTATGGAAGCCAGCCACTTTGGAAGCATCATCTTTGAGAGGTATCTCTTCAAGATTCGGCTGTATCGATTTATATGGAGATCGGTTTATCAGACAGTCTGGAGTGAACGCGGTAAATTTCAAGTCTTCTTTTTTTGCAAGATACTTGTCATATCTACCCTATAAGTACTTCACCTTATATTAGACCAAGACCACTACAATGAGTAAGGATAATAGAGGCGATGTTAGGGGTTTGAAGATTAATCTACCGTTCGTCTTGATAAATAAATGTTTATCTATTTTAGTTTATCATTTTGCTGACAATAGATTAAGCACACATCGATTTCCAAAAATGATCCTTCTTGAACCATCAAGCTTTTGTTTTTATTGAACGTTATCAAACTGTCTTCACGCCCGTGTTTGAGCTCCTAATATAAAATACGCTAATAGCTCAAATGGTACAAAAAGCTCCAAATGATCTTAAAAGGTCGCAAAATGAAAGAAAAACTCATATCCTATAATTCATCAGTGCCAAGGCATTTGATATACGATGGTGATCATGTACATCACTCACACTGATATCACCCATAAATAGTCATTTATACTTTTTTAAAGTGGCCTTTTTCGCAAGTAGAACGTCATGTATAAAAGTTATTGTACATAACTGGTTATTCACTCATCTCACTGAGTTGTTAATAGCTGAAATAACTCTGTGGTGTCTATTTTTGCAATAGTGAAAGAATAAGGACACTGATAATAATAAGACTAAAGAGAGTTAGTCAGCCTTTATCACTCTTTAAACAAGCATTCAATCTGAAGCACATCACGAACGATAAACAATTTTCTTGTATAATATGAGCTTTGATACATTTTCAAAAGAGTAGACAAAGAACGTCATGAGGAAAAAAGGGAAAACACACTAATTTCAGAGAAGTGTTCTTCCCATATATCCTGCCAAACTGTCAGTTTCAACGGACATTGGTATAGAAAGTGCTCA